GTGACAGTTGGGGATCAGATAGTCTCAATGATGGGTATAAAAGGTTGATCGCTGTCTGTCGATTATTCACTGTATTTGGAATATTGTTGACGAACGCAAAATTGCCACGTCTAAGTGAAGCCAACCGTCATATCGCCATTGGTTTGCTTGAAGCTGGCCAGTCTCAACGTGCAGTTGCCCGACGCATGAATGTTCACCAAAGCACCATTTCACGGCTCTGGGAGAGATATCGCCGGCAGAATGTGGTAGCAGATGTCCCTCGTAGTGGGCGACCTCGAGCGACCACTGCGGCGCAGGATCGCTACATCCGGGTACATCACCTGCGTCATCGAACAGCTACGGCGACCAGTACCGCTCGACAAATACCCGGATTGAGGAGGCTTTCTGCACAGACCGTCAGGAACAGGTTGAGAGAGGCTGGTTTACGTGCCAGAAAACCTTATTTTGGCCCTGTGCTTCGACAACAACATCGTCGACATCGAGTTCAATGGTGCACCAACGTTCAGGTCTGGAACCTACCGAATTGGCGTAGAATCTGGTTCAGTGATGAATCACGATTTCTATTGGAACGACGCGATGGAATAACGTGGGTGTACAGGCGTCGACGTGAACGTTTCGCCGACGCTTGCGTTCCCCAGGTGGACAGATTCGGCCGGGGCAGTGTTATGATGTCGGGAGCGATCACCTGCCGTAGGAGAAGTGATTTGGTGATGATCCAGGGCAACGTGACAGCTCAACGTTACTGTGACGAAATCCTACGCCCACACCTCCTTCCAATCATTGATCGCCAGAGGGAGTTGTTTCAACACGACAATGCCAGGCCCCACACAGCACGTCACACTAGAGACTTCCTCCAGAACCACAACATCAAAGTGCTCCCCTGGCCCTCAAGATCACTGGACTTAAACCCGATCGAACATCTGTGGGATGCCCTGGACAGACGGGTGCGACGCCGTAAACCTCAGCCCCAGATACTTCAGCAGCTCGCACCGGCACTACAGGCAGAGTGGGCTGCGATTTGCCAACACGAGATTCTGAGACTTATTCGTTCGATGCTGTAGCAATGCCATGCAGTTCTGGATGCCCACGGTGGTCACACGAGGTATTGACTTCAGCGCCACCATACGTCTCCATGTGACACTCAAACTGACTTTTTTTGAGTTGGTGCCAAAGACGGATAAGTCTGCATTCCCAGTGTGCAATTTTGCTATATTTCATTAACTCATAATATAAATTGACTCAAAATAAACATAAAAATACAGTTGAAATTCCTATATGCGTTTCTTTTTTTGGGGAGTATATATAAAATATAGTTTCTGCCAAATACGTATTCAAGAATATGAACATTGTTTTGGAAAATGCTCTAGTACAACAATTAAAGCGAGATATTTACACAGGAAGGCATTTTCTGATCCTATTTGGGGCATAGATCAGATGAATTCTTCTCATTGAGAGTTTTCCGGTGACATGAAGTTGTTCTTGTAGCCTGATCCCTTATGTAGACTCAAGTTCTGACTGCTGACTCTGCAATTAGGATATGAATGTCTTCAGGGCACTGAATACCTGCTGACTCAGTATAGGGAGGAAACTCATATATCCCTTTCTTAAAGAAAGAACGATCTTTATAGTTGTAAGAGACAAAACCCTTTCCAAATCCATAAGAAATCTCTGCTAAAATAAATTGTACAATTGTGACTATATCATGATTGTATATTTGTTTCAGCATTATTACAGCTGTACGATATATGATTAAACTGTCACGAGATACACTGAGTTTCACCTCATAGCCAAATGAAAGAAATTCATATATACACTTAAATCCTCGTAACAAATAATCTCAAAATTGAAAGAATGATATATGTGATGATGAATAAGACAAATTAACATTGATAAATACTTTTTAGTACTATAAAATAATAATTTTTTTGGAGAAAGAATACATTAATGACGCTAAAATTATTATGCTATCTCAAGTAAAGCCCTTTTAATATTAATAAAATGACTTTTAGATAGGTTGACAATTCTAGATGAGGCATCTCACCATAGACACACCACATCCTGACAACGGCTTGCAAGCCAATTGTTTTTTTCATATGCAACACTTTCACACTTTCGATGCAGATAGTTGATAATTTACAAACAAATTCGAATTAATAAGCATCATGAATTTAAACTTCCAATCGGTTACACCTGATGATGTCATTTTGCGACGATATCTAAATTGCAAATAGATATTATTGAGATGTTAATGTTATGATATTAAGATCTTATGTATATGAAAATTTGCTGTTGAGTGTTACTTTGTGTAAATTATTTATTTGTATATGTGTAAACATGGTCTCCTCGCTATGTGGCTGAAATAATGCCGATGCGATGTCAACGTAGATAGAAATTAATATGTCATTAAGAAGATTATTACTAGTATTACAATATTAGTTTCAAAGAAAGTCTAGTCAGGATACGGTCCAAAGAATGCTCCATCTAATCAAGTAAACTTGTGTACCTTGCACAGTTCATACCATCAACTTACTCTTCTTGAGCAGATCGGCATTTCAGAAGAAAGGTATGGTATAACAGGTATCTGCTTGTCTCGTGTTACCAGGACGAATTGTAACCAATGTAATTGAAAGATACAAAATCGTTTCCATAGTTACTGATACGAAATTTGTGGCAAGAGCAGAGGAGATTGTAAGAATCCGACTATATCGTGAGCATGTGTGCATGTGTCACTATCACAGAACATCAATATGTTTGGACACTCCTCCTATTCCTCCTACCAATCAGAATCCATATACACCGGTACATACCATTTTGACTTCATATAAAACGACGCCTACTGCCACAGTGTTCATTGCATGCAAGTATTTTGTGTTAATTTGAAGGATCAAGTATTGAAAATGTGGGGTAAGTATTCGTGTAATTACCAAGTGTGAAGTCACATTTCACACTTTTATGAATCGTTTTGCTGAGCGCTGCAGTTCACAGATACTTGAAGGACGATTTTAATGAACGTATTTGTCATTGTAATTCGTGGAAGGTAGACAAACCGCATCCATGAGAATATACGTTTACATGGCTCTGACAGACATATCATTCCTAGTAGTCATCTTTGTACATTATAAAAATATGTAATCATGCATCGTTTGTATTTCATGAGTGTTTATAATGCTTATATGTTCACTGCCCTAATTAGTGCATGTAGTTCTACTAACCTTCAGAACAGTTTTGTCCATTTTCAGCAGTTTCACAGTATTTTTATCACCACATTCTGATCCCTAGTAGAATACCGGTGTAACCATTGCATCACAAATTCCGAAAAGATCAGTTCAATGAATATAACCTACTCTTTTGCTTTGTGTCTGTATATTGGTATTAGGGCTTTGTTTGCTTGTGATGCATGGCACCATTGTGCTTTTGTCCAAACTATTCTGGGTGTAATTACTAAACTTCGAAAGATATAAATTGACACTACCATACGCTTCTGACTATGTTGATACATCTTGTTATAGTATAACAGTGGGCAACACATTTCATAACTTTTACCTTTTCCACATTTATTTTTATCCATGTTATCTTACAAAAAGGAATCAGGAATGTAAAAATGTACCAACTGCTAACAAACATATTATTTACATCAGGAAACACATGTATACCCTGTCCACGGTAGTCTTCCATTATTAAAAATACTGGAATAAAAGGCATTACACAGCTGTGGACTTAAGAGACAGCCACTGGGCGAGTACTGCAATATCTTGCACATGGAGTCAACCAATGAAATGCCTGTGTGAATTTCGGGGTCCTCTTGACGAGTGCCAGAACTGTAATATCTTGCACATGGAGTCAACCAATGAAATGCCTGTGTGAATTTCGGGGTCCTCTTGACAATTGCCGGAACTGTAATATTTTGCACATGGAGTCAACCAATGAAATGCCTGTGTGATTTTCGGGGTCCTCTTGACGAGTGCCGGAACTGTAATATCTTGCACATGGAGTCAACAAATGGCATGCCTGTGTGAATTTCGGGGTCCTCTTGACAAGTGCCGGAACTGTAATATCTTGCACATGGAGTCAACCAATGAAATGCCTGTGTGAATTTCGGGTTCCTCTTGACGACTGCCAGAACTGTAATATCTTGCACATGGAGTCAACCAAGACATGCCTGTTTGATTTTCGGGTTCTCTTGACGAGTACCAGAACTGTAATATCTTGCACATGGAGTCAACCAATGACATGCCTGTGTGATTTTCGGGGTCCTCTTTCACACGAAACTTAATTATGGGACATTTACATCTTTTTTCCCCAAAGGATTGTTCCAGCCTTGGAATATTTTATTCAACATTAATGTAAATTAGAAAGTAGTTGAGATACCATTTTCCCCTCGAGTTCATCAATAGAGCTCTCCGGGCGAACGCTCTTACCACTACACCAAGGAGGCGGTGAAGGTAGATAGAATAGAATAGAATAGGATAATACTTTAATGCCTTTTCAGGAATTCGTGTTACATCAGCAGAGCTACTGACACATCAGAGAGATACAAAACATATTTGCATAAATTCATTGATTTAGGTATCTCCACCTTTGTTTAAGAGAGATATGGTACTTGGAATAAAGGATGTGATATAGATTGATGTACTAGGAACCATAGGGACTTACATTACTTCTGCTACCTGCATGGACCCTAGCTGGATTTACACCATTCCTTCAGCCGCTGGCGATGGCAGGAAGATTCAGCCGAAATTTAAAATAACAGAAATACTACGATTAAAAAGTATGGTTGAGGGAAATTGACTTTGAAAGTTTTATGATAATCTATGTACTGTCAACTATTAATATCCAGGGCAATACCATTATACCTCTAACCCGCCCTTTAGGTGGAATATTGCTGAGTGCGTTCATCTTATGTATTATCCTGTATAATCTTAGCCAATGTTACATTTTCACAATTTATGTTGTAGTTTCAGGGATTGGATTTCATAAGTTATTATGCTTTACATTTATAGCTGACCAGGCATCCTGTGCGAAGAACCCATGTTAGAATAAAGGAGTGTGTAGCGTTAAAGACAAATCTGTTGTTTGCACGTGTGAAAAAGGGTGGAGACAGATGTGTAGTCGGTAGGTCCTCTCTCTTTATTTACATGGGATAGAATGCAAAAACAAAACAACAAAACAACCATATGTTCTGAACCATATGTTGTGCAGCAAGATGTGTTTGTTTCATAATGCAAGGAAATCTGTTCAAGACGTTTATCAATCATCTGATATCGTTTAGTAAGGGTCATTTAACCACCTTTCTTCCATTGATGTACCAACATGAAGCAGAGACGAAAGAAGTCATTGAATGTGCCTCATTTGTTTCACATCTACATCTATCATCAAGATTCAAAGTAATTTAACTTTATCTGTCATGAATGCATAATTGGCTTTGACAGGGTATGGCTGAAATACTACCGATACCTAACTCACTCACTCTCTCAAAGTGGCAAACACTCTCCATATGTCTCTATGTTTAGAGGGTTGACTTCAACTTTCAGCTGACCAGGCAGCCTGTGCGAAGAATCCATGTCAGAATAAAGGAGCGTGTAGCATTAAAGACAAAGCTGTTGTTTGCACGTATGAAAAAGGGTACAGCGGACACAGATGTGAAGACAGTAGATCCTCTCTTTATTTACATGGGATAGAATGCAACAACAAAACAACCATATGTTCTGAACCACAATAGGTGTGTTTGAAAGTGCAGCAATTGTACCCCCTTTTCTTGATGTGTTTGTTTTATAATGCAAGGAAATCTGTTCAAGAAGTTTATCAATGATCTGATATCGTTTAGTAAGGGTCATTTAACCACCTTTCTTCCATTGATGTACCAACATGAAGCAGATACGAAAGAAGTCATTGAATGTGCCTCATTTGTTTCACATCTACATCTATCATCAAGATTCAAAGTAATTTAACTTTATCTGTCATGAATGCATAATTGGCTTTGACAGGGTATGGCTGAAATACTACCGATACCTAACTCACTCACTCTCTCAAAGTGGCAAACACTCTCCATATGTCTCTATGTTTAGAGGGTTGACTTCAACTTTCAGCTGACCAGGCAGCCTGTGCGAAGAATCCATGTCAGAATAAAGGAGCGTGTAGCATTAAAGACAAAGCTGTTGTTTGCACGTATGAAAAAGGGTACAGCGGACACAGATGTGAAGACAGTAGATCCTCTCTCTTTATTTACATGGGATAGAATGCAACAACAAAACAACCATATGTTCTGAACCACAATAGGTGTGTTTGAAAGTGCAGCAATTGTACCCCTTTTCTTGATGTGTTTGTTTTATAATGCAAGGAAATCTGTTCAAGAAGTTTATCAATGATCTGATATCGTTTAGTAAGGGTCATTTAACCACCTTTCTTCCATTGATGTACCAACATGAAGCAGATACGAAAGAAGTCATTGAATGTGCCTCATTTGTTTCACATCTACATCTATCATCAAGATTCAAAGTAATTTAACTTTATCTGTCATGAATGCATAATTGGCTTTGACACGGTATGGCTGAAATACTACCGATACTTAACTCACTCACTCACTCAAAGTGGCAAACACTCTCCATATGTCTCTATGTTTAGAGGGTTGACTTCAACTTTCCACAAGTTAATTGTTTTCGTTATGTCCAGCAATCCTCCATGGGCTCTAGCCTCTTGTCTCTTTGCACAGTTTAGCACCCCCTGTCAATACTCTGTGAGATTCAGTCCAAGAAACGCTTTGTCCGACAAAGGTATCGGTTTTCAAACTGTACACAAAGAAGTGTACAATAAAGTTATTTCATGTTCTTGCTAAATAGGTCCTTATGTGTATGTACTCTACTGCTTTGGTGAATGACTGATGTAATCTCTCATATGTGCAAACCGTTCCTTTGTGATATAGTATGTAAGCTATACACCAGTTTGTGAATGAATGAATGAATGAATGGTCTTTACTTCCTCCAACAACTTCGGAGTGTGACATACATTCGTTACTCTTTAAAAACAACATATTTACAGATGTATCATATAGAGAAATTGAAGTTTCACAAAGCCACATGTTTACCTGACCCATGCCAGTGTATGTATTTGTCGGTGGATAATGTTCAAAGTGTTCTTTTGTTAACAGAACCTCGCTGCCTCGAAGATAGAGACTGCCTAGAGGGGAAACGCTGTGTGACAAAAGTGACGCCCTATAGATGTAAGTATCAAAACATTCAGTTTTGAAAACAAGTCAGTCTGAACATGGTAAATAATACTGATATCTTTTATATAGAAAGGGCGGATACTAAATGTCACTGACAAATACTTATCACCGCATACGAAATAGAAATGGTCAAACACCTGATAACAATCCGTCTAAGCGATTTTAAATTCTTTAAAGATGAGCTACTTCTGGAAAAAAGTCCTTTTTAACGTAATCCCACATCAATGTACCAGCATACCCATTTGGTGTTTGTGGACCTGTATTGATATTCATGTTGGATGCGGTATATCAAGTACTCGCTGTATTCCCAACCATCTAGAAAGCCAACATGATGAGACCTAAACTCGCTACCGATATCAATGACTGCATGCACTGTTCACTTTGATAGCAAATTGTAAACTTATCTATCCTACATTAGATGTTCATTTATGTTTTAGGTTCTGGTACGAAAATGTCTGTGCACATCCTGCTGGGCACTTTTGTTACTGTCCTCGCAGTGATGAACCTAAACTGACCACAATCGAACATGGCCATGACACCACGCGTTTCTACAAGTTTGCTTCATAGATTAACTTTAAATACATATTGATACATACGATTTGTAGTGATCGTTTAGGTGATAGTAGACCTGTCTACATAACACAGAGGATTCGGTAGTTACAAGGATACAAAGAAACGTGAAATACATATAATGGACGTGAGCTGCACTTGCACTACGTACAAAATGCAAATAGGAAAACATATTAAATAAAAAGATCAACGACACTTTAAGAACAGAACGTTGTGTGTGATGTGTGTCATATACTCAAGTACTTTCTATAACTGTAATAACCTTACTGCAGATAAGAAGTTAAACTTATCACAGTGCTGGTTTCGACCATTGATGACGTTACTTCTGACCTGGACATGTTTCCCAGTAACAGAGTGTTAAATTATTATTATATGTTATCTGCTTCTTATCTACAGTAACTGCATTAACACTGAGAAACTCTTCTCTTTGGCACGTATGTGCGTTTCTGTACTTTCACCTTTCATATGCAGTCATGAACAATAAAGCTGTAGACGCTTCAGCGTGATACGCCGTGTTGTGTGACGTTCTTATCTTGGAAATTGTATTGAGTGAGTGAGTTTAGTTTTACGCCGCTTTCGCAATATCCAAGCACCATCACGGCTGGGGACACCAGAAACTGGCTTCACCAATGTGACCATGTAGCGACTCGAATCAAGGTCCTCAGCGTGGCGAGCGAACGCTTTATCCACTAGGCTACCCTACTGCCGGGAAATTGAATTGAAGAACCAATCAAAATGTATAGCAACCATTATCAAAGGTTCAGTATACCTGCGCTGTTTTCATCAAAATATGCAGTGTGTAGTTAAACGGAGCAGTGTTCCAGCCAAAAGAAACTGTCTTTAAACAGACAAGTTCAGTACCATTTAGTGACCGACACTGTGAGCATTTACGTACGTTTCACGTAAGTGGGTATTGCTGAGAGATCGGATAACGGCAACACCCCACACAACACGACTGGGTTGGTTTGTTGTTTAACGTCGGACATGGTAATATTCCAGCTATATGTCGGCGGTCTGGAAATAATCGAGTCCTGACCAGACATTCCAGTGAACAATAGCATGAGCATCGATCTACGCTATCATTGGGATACGATGACATGTGTCAGCCAAGTCAGTGAGCACATAACATGAAAAAATAAAAGGTGTTTAGAAAATGTCTAAGTCCAAAACTAATTGCATACATTTCTGCCATTAATACAAACCACATAAAGACCCTGAACTATTTCTAAACGGCACACCTATCAAAGTTGTAATAGAGACCAAGTTTCTGGGTCTTATTTTTGACTCCCACTTGACGTTTTTGCCGCGTATTAAATCTCTTAAGGCTGGAAGGCACTCGACTTGTTAAAAGTTGTTTCCAATTCAAAATGGGGAGGGGATCAATCTACCCTACTTCACTTATACAGATCGCTCTAAATTTGATTATGGCTCTATTGTATATGGTGGAGCCTGCAAAAGCAACCTTAAAATGTTAGATTCTATCCATCAGCAATGTCTCAGACTTTATCTTGGATCTTTTAGAACTTCTCCTGTTGACAGTCTCTAGGTCGAGGCAGATGAGTCATCTCTTACACAACGACGTATAAAATTATCTTTACAATATACTACAAAACTACACTCTAACAAATCCAATCCTGCATTTAATTGTGTCTTTGATCCCCTCTATGAGGATTTATACAAAAAGAAACCTTCTCTTGTTCCGCCTCTTGGGCTCAGAATTAAACCTTTTATTTCTGCTACCGGCATTGAGCTGGACAATATAGCTCCTTCTCGTCTTCTTTCTTATACTCCTTGGCAATTGGTAAGGCCCGGAGTTGACCTAACATTGACCACAGTTAAAAAATCAGAAACTAATGCATTACAGTATAAATATATTAATACACACCCTAAATATAAACAATATATAATTTTTCTGACTCTTTCTTGCCTTCAGCCGATTAAAAATCTTTCTTGCAAACATCCACTTTTATTTGAAATTATTGAATTGTATAAATATCTTGCTACTGGCAAATACGACATCATGCTCTGTTGGTTACCCAGCCATGTTGGCATTTCCGGGAACACAATGGCAGATCTTGCTGCCAGGGCAGCACTAAACAAATCTGTGACACCATTTCTGATCCCATACTCTGATTACAAAGCTGGCATTAGAACCGACATCCGAGATCGAATTTGGAAAAAGTGGGACATCCAAGTAGGTATCAATAAATTACATGAAATAAGACCCCTATATCGGTTACACTTACTTGGGTTGTCAGTCCAGATTTGAAGAGGTCATCATACGACGATGTTGTATTGGCGACACAAGATATACTCATGCATACCTATTGAAAGGTGAGGATCCTCCGTTTTGTATCCCTTGTGATGAGAGAACCACGGTCAAGCATGTCCTGCTTGACTGTGTTGAATTCACCATCATAAGGGATAAATATTTCAATGTCAAAACAGTAAATGATCTTTTTAATAATGTTAATTATCATTTAATAATTGTTTTTTAAAAGAGATATATTTGTGAAATGAATTTTGATATCTGTTTTGTAAATAGAGAAAGTTTAATAATTGGTAGTTCAGATTATAAACTTAGATTGTTTGTGGCTGTATCCTCAAAGGGGGTTGAAGTAGTGTAAAATTATTGTCCTCCTGAGAGGATAGCAGGGGAGCGGCCGTGTCTGCTCCCCAGAGTGTGAGTAGGGGAGTGGCCCTGTCCCCCCCCTTCCCTAAATTTTTTTTAAAAAATTGTATGTACACACAAACACTCGTGTACATGCACCCACGCGTCCCAAAGAGGGACAACCACGCGACCCGAAGAGGGTCAACACAAGCTGGGACAGCCATGTCCATCCATGCGTCCCGAGGTGGGACACACCAAACCAACTTTCCAAGTCAATTTCGCTTAACCATATTTTTTAATCGTAGTAGTTTGGTTATTTTAAATTTCGGCTAAATCTTCCTACAATCGCCAGCGGCTGAGGGGATGGTGTAAATACAACTAAGGTCCATGCACGTAGCAAAAGTAATGTAAGCCCCCATGGTTCCTAGTATGGTGATCTACCCTCAGTTGTTGGCGATCTATAGCCCGTGTTTTATATTATATTGTCTGCTTTTATTAAAATGTTTTAGTTTTCCATGCTAGTTTTATATCCATATCTGTGATACTCTAGTTATTTTACAGTCCGTCGATGATTGATTATTTACCTACTTGTATTTATTGTGTATGCCCAACATTTCTCGTTACTGTATGGCTGAAATATTGTCGAGGTGACGTTAAATTTTAACTCACTCACTCACTCATAACATGAAATGGTTGGCAATGAATTCCGTGCGACAGGAACCACCACTGAATTATATACAACATTTCAGCTCTTTTGACGATGCTTTTCGAAAGAGATCAGATGTATTTTGCTTACCTGTAACCACCCTCCAAATATCTCGTTGTAATTCCGTTTAGAAATCCATAACTTGTACTCACGACACCGCAGCTTTGGAAGAGATGTGTTATATCCTTCGTTGTCATTTTCTATTTGTTTAACACAAATATTGCGTTGATCCAATAAATTGATATGGAAAGAAGAACATTCACATAAGAGGGTGAAACCAAACTGCAAGAAACTCAAATACATGTCGAAGCCTGATGAGCGGCTGTATGTGAAACCATAGTATGGTGGTATTCTAACCTGATTACGGAAGACTCCATCAATTTTATAGTGTATCTGGAGTCTGGTGACATCAAATAAAATGCCACATCATTACTTTAAGGTTAGTTGAGCTGTTTCGGATATGCCCTGACGCTAATTGATATTGAAACCCAGACGGAAGTAGTGGATTTTACATCCCTTCATCCATTTTATATCAACAACACTGCACTTATAAAACGTTTTTAATTTAAATGGTTGAAGCTACTTAAAAAACATTGATTACCTTTCTAGGGTCGATTGTGATGTATGGACAACTCTCTGGAGGTCTTAACTTGACATAATACTGATTTCACAGACAATCTTCAATATCATTCAATACTCAATCTCAAACCATAATACTGAAAATGGTGATGAGCATTATGTTGTGGACACTACGCATTGACAAACAAAATATGAACTTCACATTTTAAGTGCACTCATGCAATACAGTCAAAGACCGATGTGTTGAAAGTGAGGGATTTATCCGAGGTTCCACACAACCGTAAAATGCGGTAATAAAAGAGATTTTGCTTCAAGACAGCCGTGAATGCGACACAAGAGTGTTTGAGTGTATATATACTTTGTGCCTGATGTTCCAGGTCGTCACACCCTTGGCGATATTATTCCACAATCTTGACGTGTTCAGAAATTAATTGTTTCTTCATGTTATTCTAGGATGACTATTTGTGTTTTGTTTTGTTTTGTTTGTTATTTTTTTTTTTTATTTTTTTTTTAAATTTTTTTTTTTTTTTTGGTTATGTTTTGGTTTTGGTTGTGTTCTTTGTTTTGTTTTGGGTTTTTTTGGAGGGAGGGAGAGTTGGGTGGTGGTCAAAGCGAGGAAATGAACTAAGAGAGGGCATATTGGTGGTATTGGTGGTGTTGATGGTATTGATAACCTTATTATGGTTATCACTGTATTTATCATGATGGCGTAAACGGCTTAAATATTGAAATATATAGCCCAATTCTGTATCTTTATTTCAATAAAATTACAACAGCAGCAACAACAATAACGACCACAAATCTCAAACCTATCCAAACTTGATTCCACAATGACCCCGTGGAACTTTATATGAAGCCCTTTCAACAAAACCGACTATTCATCATCATCCCATTATTGGAATTCAGATATATGCAACATACTTTGGTCAATTTAGTGCGTTTCACTCAAGTGCAAATGCAACAACTATGCCATCATGATTATGGCAATCATAGCATGTTCCAGAAAGTAGAAAATATATCAGTGAAACCAGTGTTAAACGCCTGAACAATGATTCATTTTAGGTCATAATATCCCATCATAAATTAATCCAAACTAAGGCTAGACAATTGTTCATCTGGACAAAAAAAACATGAGAACGTGTAGCGCGAGTCAAAATAGGTTAATCTGTCGAACATCATTGTTAGGGCTGTAACGATTCACCGAACTATCGACAGATTGCAATTGTTGAGTCTCCGATAGCAATTAATAGATGGTAGAAACGTAAACTATCAATGCATCGATACTATGTGTGACTATCGATAGTTTAGTAATTGATGGTTATTTACTTTTATTTAATATTTATGTTCTTTTGTATTTTGTATTGTTTGGGTGCAGGCTTGCAGCTTCATTGAGTTTATGTTTTAACTGTTTGATTGATCTCTGTTTCAAGTTTCTTGTCAGTTATTAAAAAGAGACTGAAACTACTTAAACTCCTTTTTATTTCATATAAACTGTACATTCATTTGGGAAATGACTCCAAATTAGACAATACAGGAGAAAATACTATTTCAATAGTTGTTTCCACCTCAACAGTCACCCCTGATCATTTTTGTCATTGCTGCGTCAAATT